GAGCTTTAAATTATTTTTAAATAGTCAAACTCATGTTTTTAACTTAACCCATGCCAAAAATACCCTGTGGCTTCAGCACGGTATTTTCACCGTGCTTTCTGCTGACTCGCAGGTGAGGCTGGTGTGCTAATGGCCCATACGTGACGAGACTGGTTTTTAAGCACAAAGGTACCCAAACCTGTAATAGGCACAGCCATAGAAGATGAATTCCAAATGTTCACATTGTTTGTTTATAGTCCTATTTCAAAAAGCCAAATGGTGTCGAGCTTCCAGCCATCCCTGGGCTGCCCTTGTGACCAGCGGAGGTGGCACCCTCGGCCTTGGAGGGTGGATCTTTTTGTCACCTGGGACCTAAAGCCAGCATCGGCTCTGAAGGCAGTTTCTGAGACGTTTGCAGCAGAGATGACGGGTGAGCACTGCACACCTCTGGCGGGACTTTGGAAGCACAATCATTGGGATGTACGAGTTCTGTTATCTTTGTTTTTCCAAAATAGCCATTTCTTTTTATAAGTCACAGTTAATACCTGCTCATTTGCGTTTCTGGAAGAGCTGGCCAGGGGTCAGCGTTCTTGCATTTTTAACTGTCACAAGTCACTTGGAACTTAGCACTCTAACAGGTATCAAACTGATCATCACTTTGATCTAGTAACATTTACATATTTAATAATGTTTAAGGTTTATTCATGTCTGATCCAATCTAATTTTATATTAAGTACGTTTTCCGTTTGAATACACTGTTGGGGAGAAAATGTTACATTTATACTTCGGGAACGAAAGTTTGACCAAATAAATCTTTCCCATAAATACAGGTAAATCCTCTCCTGGGTGGGCAGAGCCTGAGCGGCTCCTGCGGGCCAGCACCACCTGCTGGCCAGCGGCGGAACTGTCCCGACTTCATGATGTTGGGCTGATAAGATGGAAAACGGTGCATGTTAACATTTTCATTTTTCCTGAATATTAAGTGAAAAGTATATTCTTTTCCTTTTGAAAGCTATTATTGGACAGAAGTAGATTTTTCTGAGTAGTTGCGCACCTATGTTTGAGTTTTTTATTTGTATGTAATGGAGCACTGACCCTTTGTCCCTAAGCATGGGGAGGCCAGAGACGTGCGGAGTCGGGGCGAGGGTCCAGTTCCCCAACTTACGGGCTCTAGTGGACTGAGAGCATCTTGTCTTAATTAAAAACACTCCTCACTGCCGGGATATCATACAAGTGTTATAAAACCAAAATTCTAAGGCTAAGTTACTATCACAAAGGAAATATTCTTTACTAAGTTATTGCTGGTTATTGACTACCTGTTAAGTAACCATCTGCTACCAAGAAGGAAAGTTATATTTCTTACCATGTTTTAAGTTGTTAAGCGAATGTGAATAATTTTTTAAAGGAAAAAAAAGGCTCTCTCTGAGATTGAGATGCTATTATTCATAATTTTAGGAATTACAAACTGCTTGGAACAGCTGCTTGAGTGTATTTTTCTACCCAGGTCTGTACTTCTGCCATTTTCTTCTTAAAAAAAAAAACAAAAACAAAAAAAAACTATGTTGTATTATGTATTAAAGTTTTCTTGGTTTTATATATCAGAGAATAAAAACTTTTTTGGCTTTTGAGTTAAAACGCATTAATGATATATTTCAGTTGTGTTCTAAGTAGAGGAGAATGTCAGTGCTGACGACAGTAACCACTCAAAAGGAAATGGCGCGTTTATCAAGTGCCTGTAGCGCTTCATCCTCACACGTTCTCCATGAGGAAACATCATTATTTTACGGATGAGAAAATGGGCCCAAGCTCAGATAGACAGATGACAGTCCAGAACCCTCTTCTGAAGTCCTTTCGAAAAAGCTTTTCTGAATATTTCCTAAATATACCCTGGTTTGCAGAGTTTCATTAACACCACCGTTCTGACATTACTGAACGTACAATGCACAGCGATCCACTCACTCTGGCCGGGCGAAGTGGCGCACGCTCTAATCCTAGCACTTTGAGAGGCTGAGGCAGGAGGATTGCTTGAGGCCAGGAGTTTGAGGTTGCAGTGAGCTATGGTGATGCCACTGCATGTTAGCCCAGGTGACAGAGTGAGACCTTGTCTCCAAAAAAAGAAACAACAAAGTACAAACACTGAGATTACCAGTGAGCACCAGTAGCTTAACAAGTACTCCTCACCCACTGAATCCTCATGACACCGACCTGTGTGTGGCCTTTCTCAGTTTGCGGTTGGGGAACTCACACGGCTGGACAGTTGCCCTCAGAGCCTGGTGAGATGGAGCTGACGGGGAGGGATCAGGCACTTTGGAGACTGGCTGTCGGGTGTCACGGCCGTGCTCGTGGCAGAGTGTGAGATGCAGGGCTTGTGTGTGAGCAGGGGCCACACACCTGGCTGCCAGCGGCAGGGTTCCCTGACCTGGCCGTCCACGTCCCAACCCCCAGAGCCTGGAGCTGCTGGGAGGAGCCAGACTTCCAGGTGATAGTGAGACTCTGTCTGAGAATCCATGAGGGTATTTAGTATCTTACAGTTTTTCACCAAATGATCACAGACAGGGAATGTGTGGTGAGTCACAAGGGTATCTGGAAAGCCACATGACTGTCACAAAATCCGAGAAATGTTCCAACAGAAGGCTATGCCTTCACCTCTGTCGAATGTTTTAAAAGGATGCAAATATGAACCCAGTGTGATAAAAATGTCCCCTCTTAATCCTTGCGTGAAAAAAATAGGTACTACAATAGATGACAGATTGTTTTGTTAAAAAAAAAAAAAACACTCCCCCACACCAGCAGTAAACTACTGTGAAGCTTTTTATGGCAGCACAGTCAGCAGCACGGTCTGAACAGTTTAACTTACCACAGTGACGTGTGGCTGAACTAACAGTCAGTTCCTAAATGCATGAAAATATCTGATGTGCTCTGTTGCTGCTAAAACAGGAACCCACTTAGCTGACTTTCTGGGAAGGTGAGCTGGTCAGTGTAAGCTCGAGGGCTTGTTAAGGCAGTGCCCAGCCCACCCGAGGCTGATCTAGAGATAGTGGGCGGGGCTTGGGGCTTGAGAATTTTCATTTCTAACAAGTTCCCCAGGTGCTGCCACTGCTGGTGGCCCAGAAAGTGCATTTTGAGGACCATTGGCTAATCCTCCCCTTAAAAATGGTTGTCAGGAAAGTAGTAGGATTTGCCTGTGTGCTTGGACTTGATGATCAAGGGCCCGTCCGACAAGCACACAGGACTTTCCTTGGGATACACGGGCAGGTTAACGTCAGGTAACCTACACTCTCCCTGATGAGCGCAGACGCTGTGCTCGCAACTGCCCCTCACCCCACCCCTGCCCCGGTGCACACCCGTGCGTCTCCCCTTCCCCCTTCCTCCTCGCTGCCTCAAACATCTACCCCCCCAAGTGTTCTCTTCTTCTTTTTTCTTTTCTTTTCTTTTTTTTTTCTTTTGTAAGAGACAGGGTCTTTCTCTTGCCCAGGCTGGAGTGCAGAGGTGTGATCACAGCCCACTGGAGCCTCGAACTCCTGCCCGCGCCTCCCAGGGTGCTGGGGTTACAGGCGCAAGCCACCAAGCCCAGCCCCAAGTAGTTATTCTTGAAGACACCCCAAGTCAATACACAAATTCTTTTTTCCCTCTTTTCTTCCCTCACTTATGTTTTTATCCTCATGCGAAAAGAAACCAGAACTTTTGGACATCAGAATTTTTTCAATATTGAACCATGTTTCCTAGGAGTAAAGCCTTATTAATAAAAAACAAAATGATTCGACATTGGTCTCGCAACCCAGAAAATGAGCACCGTTTTCTGGATTCACCTGCACAGTGAGCTTTGACACAAACACATCATTTCTCGACCTGAATCCTTTTGCCCTCAAGACAAAGTGCCAGGGAAGGGCTCTCTTACAGACCGCACTCTCGGGAGACTGTTGTGTGATCAACAGGGCTGTGACAACTGGAAGGTCGGAACTGTCACTTCAGAGCCGAGCTCCACGCCCTCTGTAGAAGCCACCTGAGCCCCGAGCGAAGCGAGTCCCACACACGAGAGGAGCACAGCTCCCAACGTGCCTCTGCGTGACCAGCTGCCAAGAGCACCAAATGCATGGCAAGATCAGAGCCCAAACAGCCAGACCGCAGAGGGCACCACAAATAAAGTGAATCAAAATCCAAAATCCAAACTTCCACAGAACCAAACTGTGGAGACTGCCATTCCTGTAGACAAGAGAATTAGAGTCTGAAATTACCGGCTCATAACCAAAAGCAGAGAGGACCTACGTACACACAAGATCAGTCGGGAACTCACCTCCACATAACCTGACGTCAGAGGGCGCCTCACATATAAACCAGAGCACCAGCGTCCAAACGCAGCTTTCAATTAACCAGACTCCAAAGCCCAAAGCCCGTATGAATGAGAGAACCAGTGTCCAGAAACCACATGCGTGGAACCGGACCGCAGAGACCACCCGTCACATACAGGAGCGTCGCAGTCTGAGCCCCGCGCCCACGACACCAGGCCACGTGGAGATGAGAAGAACCCAAAACCTGCTTCCACACAACTCGACTGCACGTGGCGAGAGGATCCCAGTCAGGAATGTGCCTCCCCATCCCCAGACCGCAGAGCATCACACTTACAAACAACGGGATGAGAGTCCAAAATCTGTTTCCACACTCAGACTTAAGAAAGGCCCAGACATACGCACGAGAAGGTCAGAGTCTCGGATCTCCCTCCACAGGCCCAACTGCACGGAGCACTGTCGTGCGGACGTGGGACTCGTTTTCAAATCTGCTTCCACACGGTGAGACTGCAGAGAGCGCAGATCACACAGATGAGAAAGTCAGAGTCCGAAAATACTTCCACAGAACTGGGCCGCAGAGACTGCCAATCCTGTAGACAAGTGGGTCAGAATCCAAAATCCCTCTTCCGTGACCAGACTGCAAGGGCACCGCTAGCACAGGTGAGAGGGACAAGCCGGAATTCACCGGTCCTGTAGATGAGTGGGTCAGAACCTGAAATCCACTCCACGGAACCAGAGAGAACCACGCGTACAGGGGAAGGGTCAGAGCGGGAAATCCACCCACATGACCAGCTGTGGCGAGTGCCGCACATACCGACAAGGGCATCGAATCCCAAACCCTCTCGACAGCCAGGCTGCAGCGAACCGGCTCACGCACGGGGTCAGCGCTCCGCTGTTTGCACAGAATCCGGTTGCAGAGGGCACCACACACCAACGAGAGGCCAGGAGCCATGGTAAAGGCCACGCCGGGGACACGCAAACCTACGCTTGTCCTTTCGGTTTGATGTGTTGTCCCCTACACTGCATAAGCTTTTTATTGAGAGGTTCTACCCTCCTACTCTGCTGTTCAGGTATTAATGATTTTATGTCGTGCATATGAATATACATGTTCCCAGGGATCTTATACTTTAGAAACAGGCAATAAACAAATGACAGGATATACTGTAACTCGTCTGTCAATAACTAATAAGAAGAAAAAACAGGAGAAGGATATTGTAAATTTTTTTACCATTTTTCAGACGAGATGAAAGCAGACTGATATTTCTAGTTCTCAGAGCCATGATTCACCCCTGTAAGTTCTGACTGCCACTGCATGTCTCATGTCCCTGCTTTCAGAAACTCAAGTTTATCCACAGTTCAGGCCAAGGAAAGATGCCACCCACCCACCACCTGACTCCTGGCATGAGCCCCGACCGTCCACTGTAGCCAACAGCAGTAGATGACCCTGTCATCGGTGTGACTTCAGTCTTGCATTGAAAGTAGGAATTGCACCCACAGTCGTCCTTCCTGGTAACCACCTTGCCACGCCCCAGCCCAGCTCCGCCTGCGCACACATCCGTGCCGGCTTCTCCCCGACCCCTGTCCCACGCGAGTGCCACCTCTGTACCCACGGCTGCCGCCTAAGTCAGGAACAAGGGGCATCTGCTCAGCGCAGGAAAGAAAATGCATTGCTAAGGGCTGAGCAAGTGCCAGCAAGAAAAGTGACTGCACCCGGCCAGGTGGGATGTCACCTTGCACAGGTAGCTGGAGGGTGGCTGGCAACCGGGAAAGACACCTTAGGCACCATGTCCAGACCAGCAATGTCCACACTGGGGGGCTTCCATCTTTCCTGGTGTCACCTTAGGCTTGAAAAACTTTTCACAACCTCTCCGATCCCTTAACCCGACGTCTTCCCTCATCTTCATTGGCCAGAACCAGGTCACCAGGCACTGCAAGTCCGTGGCCACTGGGGAATGGACCAGCCCCAGACGTGGAATCACTTTCCCCTGTGCTGGGGGGTCTGGCTAAACGGTCGGGCTTTGGCAGCAAGCCGGAGCTGGACTGAGCCTGCTGTCTGGCAGTGCCACACGTGAGGGGATCAGAACGCCTTGTCCCTCCGCCATGCCCAGGGGGGAGTGCGCCAGCCACAGTCTCTGAACCTGAGATGCTGCTTCCTCTGGGTTCTGCAGGGGAGGATGGGAGGAGAGGAGGGCTTTTTTCTCGTTCCACCTGTGTTTCAGCACCCTCGTCCTCACAGGAGCCGTCACTGCCTCGGCACCCTCAGTACCCGAGGTCCTCTCAGTACCTGAGCACCCCTGGCACCCCCAGCACCTTCAGTACCCCAAGCAGCCCTGGAACTCCCAGGACCCCTGGCACCCCATGGCCTGGGCTTGGCCCTCCCTGCCCTGCCCAGCTGCCTCCCTCCGCTCGAGGTTCTGACCAGGTGCCTCCTGCCACACGCCACCAGCCCTGGTGCAGCCGCTGTCAGTTTTTATCCGTTTCAGGATCCCAAAGCCAACGCACCTGTGCCCTGCACTGAGTCTCTGAAATGCCGGCATGCCGTCTTCCTGACCGGACCCTGAGGGGAGTGTCAATGTGCGTGGGGTGGGGTGTGCAGACAACAGCTGCCCTCTCCAGGGCCCCGCAGCCCATGAGGCCCATGGAGTGGCCTCCCTGCTCGGAGCAGAGGACACGGTGCCCATAGGGCTGCGGCGGCAGAGAGAAGCCGGCTCTGCTCCATCCCAGGCACCTGGCTGGGAAATGTCTGTAATCCCCGTTTAGAAGCCTTTGCTTTCCAACTGCAGCTGTTTTCTCCTCTCTATGCATGCTTCATTCTTATTCATAGTAATAACTCACTATTATGAATAAAATAATGTTGACAAGGTAGTTTTCACACACTCATGGGTCTCGGTTAACCCTCGCAACAACTTTGAGAAGTGGCGACATCACCCTCGTTTCAGAGCTGAGCAAACTCAGCTCAAGCCTGAAGGAGTCCAGGTCACTCAGCCACCGTGGCAGCCGGAGACAAGGCCACGGTCTCCTGACCCCAGAGCTCACATTCCTGCCCTGTCCAGCACTGGGGCTCGGTACACTGGGGAAGTTCTCCATCTGCCCCGACCACCACAGCCCTCTTCCGGGTTCAAGCTGGAGTCCCAAAGTGCCACAGAAAATCTGAACCTCGCATGTGAGCGCACATTGGGCATCTTCGTATCCTAAAGTGAAATTTCTACCCACGTAGACTTTTCTTGCCCCATTGTGTTCAAATGTTCCAACCCAAACAACCCACGATGTGCTTCAGAAACTGTGAATCGCAGACACGCAACCCCAGGACAGGTGCCTTGTGGGCGTCCGGACAGCCCAGCACTGACACAGATCAAAGCACGTGCCTACAAAAGAGCGTGAGAGGACCTGAGCCCGGACACTGGCTGTCCCTGGGGGATGAAATAATGGGGCTGTTCCTTCCCAATTCTTGGAAGTTTCAGAAAAATGTACATGATCAATTCTGTAAGTAAAAAAATAGATTCTTCCATCCAAGAAAAAAGTAGGCAATGGGGAAAGTGGGGGTGACAGAGACACCGTAGGAGGCAGTGTCCCTGCTGTGCAGTCACGAGACCAAGGAAGCCTTGTTTCTCTGAACCCTGTGAGCGCTTTCTGGGAGACAGCAGGGCTTCTTTGGTGTTTTTTAACGTTACTTTTTCTCTGATTATAAAAATATTATATGGTCACTTTGAAAAATTTGAAAGATATCAAGTGTATAAAGAAGAAAAAGCCCACAGTAAATCCACCAGATAACTGCTATTGTCAATGTTTTCATATTTCTTTAGACATCATCAGACAACTCGATACTAAATAACTGAGATACTATTATACACAGAATTGCACATCTTACTTTCTCATGCAACATAAAAATTTCCCACTGCAATGAAAATTCTTCCCAAACTGTATCTTTAGTGGACACAACATATGCATATACCTAAGTTAAGTTCACTGTTTTCCTCTTGAAGTGGGTTATTTCCAGTTTTCATATCACAAAGCATGCAGTAGTGGGAAGCTATGCTTAGATTGCCGATCATTTCTTTAAGCATAGATGCCTAGAAGTGCAATTACTCAATCAAAGGGTATGAAAATTTTTGAAGTTCTGGTTTTTTTCCTTCTATTTTTTCTTTTCAAGCAGTCTCAGAGCAACGTTGCAAGCACAAAGAGCTGAAGAGTTAGCTCCCCGGCCACGATTCCTACAACCACACACTCTGCACGTCCTGCAACGACGTGCAGGTCGGGAGCCAGCTCTGAGGCGTTGCACCCGTCACCGCAGCAACACGACAGGGGCTGGTTCAGAATCCCTCCTTGTAATGAGTTGCCTTTAATCTCCTTCGATCTGGGACAGCTCCTCAGTCCTCCCTGGATTTTCATGAACGTGACACTTTCGAAGAATACAGGCCAGTTATTTTGTGGTGTCTGCGATTTGGTTTTGCCTGATGATGCCTCACGGCAGCCCCCCTTTGGCTCCTCGTGCGTTCGAACAGGTGGTGTGTCGTTTCAATCTGTCCCGTTACTAATGACGTTCGCTTTGGCCGCTTTAAGGTGGTGTGTGCATGGCTTCCCCACCAAAAGCTATTCTTTTCCCTTCGTAATTATTAAGTATTTTATAGGGAGGTATTTTGACAACATGCAACTTTTCCTTTGCATTCACAACCTGGCTATTTGGCACAAGAGGCTGAGCTTTCAGCCGATCTTGGTTTTCGATATTCCTTCCTCACTAAGCTTAATCATTTCTAGCTTCTGATTTAAAGTGAGAGATGTGCGACTTCCTCTCACTTGGGCACTTGGAGGCCATTGTAGGGTTATTTACTGGCCTAATTTCAATACTGCTGTGTCTCAGGGAATAGGGAGGTCTGAGGCGGGGGGGAGACGGGGACGGCCGGTCAGTGGAACAGTCAGAGCACACATGCTCATTGAGTGAGTTCACCACCTCGTATGGGCACAGTTAGTGGCAGCCCAAACAACTACAATAGTAACATCAAAGATCACTGATCACAGATCACCATGACAGATAGAAGAATGAAAACATTTGAAATATTGCAAGAGTTACTAAAATGTGACACAGAAACAGTGAGCACAAGCTGTTGGGAAAATGGTGCCACTAGACTTGCTTGGTGCAGGGTTGCCGCAGACCTTCCGTCTGTAAATAGCGGAATATCTGGGCAGCAAAGTGAAGTGTGTCTGGGCTTCCCCCCACCACACCTGACAGCAGCCTTTCCTTCAGGGAGCTCTGGTTCCCTTTTGTGGAGAAAGGTATTTAGACGCCAAGATCTGGGCTCCAGGTGTGTTCATTGTTCCTGGGCCTTCAGGGGGCAGAGCTAGATTATATGCATGTGTGCAGTGCACACATACATGGACACACATGTGCAGGAAACGGCTCGGCAGCCTGAATGGCTTAAGCCCCTGCACATTCCTAGAAGACCTGCTTTTCTGAGCGGCCCTTGGCCATGGCCTGCGAACGGAGCTCTTGGATGCTCCGGTTGGCGAGTGTGTTGCACACTTAGAGACTGAGTCACACTACTCCAGTTATCCTGACAGTCTGTTAACAATGTGACTAACCGTAACTCTGCTTTTCTTCTGGGGCTCTGGAGTCAGCCTGTGGGACTGACCCCCCAAAACACACAGGGCCCAGGCCCAGGCAAGCGTCCCTGGCAGGCGTCGCAGCCCCTTGCTGGAGGAGTTGGGAACAGCCCTGTGGCTCCCCAGGAGAGGCTGCTTGGCACCTGGCACCTGGTTTCCCCCAGACTCTGCCTCTCGAGCCTTTTCCCCACAGACGCTGATCTGTAGCCTTTTGCTGTAAGAAACCGTGATCAGGATCATGCCGAGTCCTGCGAGGTCTTTCCGAAACTCACCACACCTGAGGGCGGTCTCAGGGACGAGCTCTGTCTCACACACGTGTGCTCTATTTAGATTTCTCCCTGTCCTTATGCGCAGGAAGCCTGCTTCCGTCATCCTCAACACCCTAACACTCTCCCCTTGCGGGTGCCCCGCCTGTTCGGGCCGGACACGCCCTCACGCCACCTCTCGCACCGCCAGGGACCCTTCCTCATCCCGCTTGGCCCCACAGCTAGTCCCAGGCGCTCACCCTGCCCCTCGGGGCCCTGCCTCAGCTGAGGACGGGGCAGGGGGGAGGGAGGCGCTCTGAGCCCTCACGGGAGCTCTATCAGATTCACCTCCCAAAATTATTTCAACAACCCCGCAGCTTATCAGACTCTGCCCCCAGTCCTGAGCTTAGCCCAGAAGCCCAATTCTCTGCTACTGCACTCTGCAGGGGTCTCCCACGGGCTCCTCCCCTGCGTCCACCACGAGAACCACTGAGCTGTGGCTCAGCCTCTGTCTTCCTTCATGCCGCGGCAGGCGCCAGCCCTGCTCTGCTGGCTCATCCCCTGCCCCTCCCCTCTGCCGACTCCCAGGCCCCAGCATGGCCCAGGGTCAGGGTCAGGGTCAGGGTCAGGGTTAGGGTTGGGGTTGGGGCGCCCTCCGCGGGCATCACTCTGATTCACTCGCGCTTTACCCCACCCAGCGACGCGCACTGCAGACCCAAGAAGAGGCAGGGAAGCTTCGGCTCCCGTCCATTCCACGGGCCAGATGACACCACAAATTTCCTTCAGCAATTATTAAATATGAGTCTGGGCAGGACAGAAACACAGCCGCTTGCCTCTGGCCCTCATCTGCCGACCGCCCACCTGGGCTGCACACCTGCCGCTGTCCACCGCGTAGTGGGAGCGGTGGGGGAGCAAAGTAGACTCTGAGAACATCTTGGTGAGGCTGGTGGCGGAGGAGGTGTGGTGGATCCTCACACACTCCGCTGAGAGGTAAAAGGCCCCGAATTGACTGGCTGGGACTTTGCTGTGGGGCTGATTCACGGCGACCAGAGGACGCACGTTTTTGCTCCTTGACCTTCAGGTCTGAAACGTGCACAGTCCGGCAGCTCCTTATTTCAGCAGGGACAACAGCAATGGTGCAGTGAATTAAGGGGAATTAGGGCCCAATCGCTCTAACTGTGGCACCGTTAAATGAGATGCCACATGTTTTTAGAGGACTAAATAAATACACATTCATTTACGAAAATTTGTAAAATACAGAAAGACACTCCTAGTCTCACTACTGCATAGTTACGGCATCCCGGTAACCCACACACTCGAGTTTAACTAAAAGCAAACGAGCACACACTCCAGGTGTAGCCTCTAGAAATGCATCTGGACTCGGGGCCGGCCGTGGCCGAGGTTCCCTCCGCTTTTTAGGCTGCCTGTGCCGATCCCCCTTTCCGCACACCTGTGGTCTGAGAACACCCTAGGACCAGAACACACGGAACAATAAATTGTTGAGGGTCCTTGTTTGGATGGACCTTAAAGACCACAGGATCTGCCGACCACACTCAGAGTACATTAATTTCTCGACAAATCTATCAGGCTGGTTCTTAGTTGAAAACAACAAAAACAACTGATTTAAACACGATCTGGAGTGTTCCGACGGGAAAGGTGAGGGCAGTAATGTCTGGGTGACAAGAACTCGAATGCGGTGTTTTCTAACAGGACACGAA